GTGTCAAAAGCTTTTTTCGTTACCGAGTTATCATTAAAAGAAAAAGAGGATTCGGATGTACAAATAATTTTTGCTGCCACTGTATCTCGATGTTTGAAGAACGAAAATAGGAAATGAAAGCTCACTTCTTGTTTAGATTCGTAACCTTCAGCCAATGAATTCCTTTCCTTTGAAAGCGAAAAGTGCTTGAATAGGCACATTTATTTCGGTCGTTATACTAATCAGCATGAAAAAGCATTCTGCATCATTGATTATTTAGGCCCCACTGAACACTTGAATTCAAGAAAACTTGTCGAAAAAGCTGAAAATTCTCACATCTTTCAGCACCTACCCCTAGCGTCATCAGTCGTCACCCAAGTCCAAGCGGTAAACGACGGTATCCCTTCAAATATGATGAAATACGACAGTCGTATACGTAGTGTGTTACGATGCGGTTACGACAGCCGTTTGCGATCATACTGGTCTACTCAAAATATTTTCAAAACTGTTTATACAAAAAGTAAACGATTGTTGTAACGTATAAGCGCCGTATTTTTATCGTGTGTATTTTTCTCATTCAGCGTTTTGAATCGTACACGATTGTTTAGGATAGTCGTAATCATGGATCTGGGCATCTTTCACTACAGGCCGCTCCTAAAGTCGATGACGAAACATATGAAGGGCGTCAAAGAGAAAAACTATTGATTTCTCTTGATTTTTGAGAAAAAATCTACGCATAACCTAGTGACTTGTATTATACAAGTGCTGATTTCAGAAGTTTCGAGTCAGGAACCCTGCCACTAATTAGATCTTAACAAAAGTTGGTGATCGTCGGTCGGCCACTTACGCTAGCTTCTTTCGTCAGGCACTATAGCAAAGGTTTAGTTTCTTTTGTCGAAGCCTCGTATGTGTTGCTTAAGACTTTTGTATTCGAAAGTTGACGATGAACAGATTTACGGAATTCGGAAAACAAACCCATTTGTCTAACCATTAGACAAACAGAAAGCAGCTATTGTGTCTCTATGTTATGAATTATAAGAAGAACTAGATCAATAAGATCAGTCATGATGGTGAAACTACGTAGTACAGATGAGAAGAAAACAAAATGGAAATTTCAGAAGGCAAAGTGGTTCTCTTCATTTTCAAAATGGAAAACAGAGTGGAATTCATTTTTACAAAGTGGAAGACCACTTTCCTCTCACGGGGACCACCAATCATTAGAAACACTGATTAGTGAAGAGTGTGTATATATACATATAAAAGGTAGTTGTGTATAAAATATGCAGTTCTCGTACCTGATCTGTCCTGGTTAGAAGCATTGATCCCCTTGGCTTTAGTCTAGGGTATTCGAGCCAGGGTTTCTAATAAGAATTTTGAGCAGCGCGTACATAAGCGTGGTAATTCATGGATTCTATCGTTCTGTCTTTTCCTATTCGTTGATACAAAGCGTATTTTCAATTTAGTTCGCGTACCGTACGCTTTGAAACAAAGGCGTACGCGTAATGTTAGAAACACTGATTCGATCATACTTTTGCATTCTGTCTCTCCACAAAACATAGAAATGGAAAATATGGAATAACAGTTTATAGGCTGACCAACCAGCACATGGGCAACATATTAATGCAGAAGCGAAAGAAATACTATGCAAAGAAAAATAAAACAAACGTAAAATTCGGCTAAAAAAGGTAAAAAAGCTTTTGACACGCGGTTTCATCAAAATATTTTCCGCTCTCTCCAGTAGATTTGTAGATAAAAAAAGTTAGAAATATTCATTGCTGCCCTTTGTTGTTTCTTTCCAAACTTTTTAAGTTGAGAGAGAAAAACGGGTTTCTGAACATTAAAACCGACTTTTCACCCATAAGTTATGATTAAAAGAAAAACAGGATTGGAGGGTGTACAAATAAATTTTGCCGCTGCTGTATTCACATAAGCAACGCGCTCTACGATGTACAATCGTAAATATCTCGGTAGTTCTAATAGACCATAGAAAAAGAAAACCGGAAATGAAATCCAACTAGGGGAAAAACGTTTTTGTGAATAGCGTAAATATGAATAAAAACAACAATAAGTTTCAACTATACCTCACCATTTTCTCCTATTTTGACTCTCAGTTGTCCAGTTTCTTTCTCTCGTCCACATACTGTGCTATTCTTCATTATCCGTGGTCATATTCATCTATTTTATTACGTTTTCCATTTATTCCATCATATTTTTAATCCAAGCATCCATATTTTTACCATTGATATTACTGGACACTTTGGTCTAATCAATTTGCTGTTTTAAACTTTACAATGACAAAATCTTCTAAAGTGATCATAAACACCTATCTCAATTCAATCCAGAAAACTGATTTGCGCTATTTATCACGGAATGAATTACTATCCTTGATTGAGAAATTTGCCGAAGTCGTTGATTCTGACTGTGATGATTCATTGGACTCCATTGCCAATTGTTCGTTAGATGTCGCCAATCCACTGTTCAAAACAATCGTCGCTCAGCACGACTTATTAATAAGAACCTTATGTCATCAATATCAGTCCAAGGCCAATTTACTTGGTTCAGCATGTCTCTCTCCGCAATCAAACGCGTCTTCGTCACAAGCTTTCGTCAGTAATCGTTCCACACAAACTCAATTTAAAGAATTTTGCTCACCATCAACAGTACAAAGCAATCATAGTCTCTCGTCAATTTCTTGTTCGGATAGTATTATGTCACCCAATCACGATATTAATCATACCGGCGACAAGTCTAACAATTCTAATCCGTATGCTGCTGTTGTTACCTCATCGCCAATACCGCCTACATCGTTAGCAAATATGAATTCAAGTAAAAAAGCTGATAGCACCAGCCCTAATTCGAATCCACTCCTTTCACAAAAATCGTTTATCCATCCGACACCTGTTTTAGTCACCGTAACAGGATCGAGTATCACTCAAGATCTCGAACCCAGTACAGTCAATCTAAAGAACAAACCGTATCGTTTCCTAATCCGGACAAAGAAAGGCTGTACCATTGAACAGATGACGGAATATTTACAGGACAAACATTTCCAGCCATCTCCTCATTTTGTTATGAATATTGGTACAATTAATTTGAAACATGACGACCCTGGTATTGCATTAGATAAAACAAAACTACTTGTCCAGTCGTTCAAAAAATCTTATCCTCAATCTTCATTAGCATTAACAACATTGTCTCCTCTTCTTGTTCGTGGCACTAAATCGTCAGTTGATCATGTGCGTAATGATATTACGGAATATAATCGGTTGTTGACCTCTATTGATGGTGTTGATATTATCAAAGTGAACTATGATGACAGATCGATGGTATGTGTAGATGGTATCCATTTAAGTGACTCAGGAACTCGTGAGTTAAGTCGCTCGATTGACGACTACTTTTCGAGGTATATTTAGTGACTCTGTTTCGCTATTTGACACACGTACCTTTTTATCTGCTTCGGATGGCTCCCATTGCTATGTCTCTCAATTTAGTATGTCTTTTCCCCAGTCTGTTAACTCTTCAGTTAACTTTTCTTGTTCTGCAGATATTCAATCATCTCTTTGTGCCCAAGCTTGTGCCTTTATCCCTGCAGTCACTTTCTCCTGCAAACACTATATTGAACCACCAATGGACACGTTAGTCCAGTCTTTTATGTGTAACCCTGAAGGATCTAACCACTTTGATAGTTTCTCTCTTTCCGTTAACCCCACTAACATTGACTTTTCGTCGTCTGATAGCAGTTTACGTGTCTCTTCGTCAGATCTGAACCCATTAGCTTCGTTCTGGCAGCCCAATATTTTTTGCAACGGGACTAACCACAAACTTACTGTTCTCAACCACAACATACAGAGCCTAACAGCTCATTTTGATATGCTCCAGGAAACTGTCTTATCAGCAAAACCTCACATCATAACTCTTCAGGAAACCAATCTATCTTCTGATATTTCCGATCAAGAATGTCATATTGGTGGCTACTCCGTTTATAGGCGAGATCGTAATCACCACGGGGGTGGTAGTCTAGTCTATGTTTCTGATTTACTGCAACACTCTATCATCGCGGCGGATACTGATACAGAATCTCTCATAGTAAGCATCGCCATTAACGAACGTATCTTCATTATTTGTAATTCTTATCGCCCACCTTCATTTCGGGACGGATATTTTTCTAAACTGGAATCGTTTATTTTGGGATCTTTGCCTCCAAAATACGACTGTTTACTCGTTGTGGGAGATTTTAACGCGGACCCGTCTGATAAGCCAATGCACAATGCTTTACGCGACTTGGCAAGTGTTTTCGGATTATAATGCTCATATTCTATAGTAACTACCACAAAAGAATCCTGTCTTGATTACTTACTGTTTCCTTCTTCTTGGAAACCCCCTATGATTACGGATCAGCCTTCTATTGGTTGTTCTATTCACTTCACTCTGATCTTCCTTTGACATTAATATTACTACTTCACAAGCAAAACACAGATATGTAAAAGCTTTTTCTAAATGCGGTCTTCCCGCTCTGTACAATGCTTTAGATAACATACCAGAGACCTTCTTTCTTGCGACCGATCCGTCCGAGGTGTTTGCCATATGGCAGTCTCATGTTGACAGATGCTTAGGCGAACATGTTCCGCTGAAGCGAGTTAGTTTAACCAAAAAGCCGAATGTAGAACTTTCTAAGATGACTCGTAAACAAATGGCGAAAAGAAATCGAGCTTTTAATCGTTGGAAGATACAAAAAACAGCTGTAAACTATTCTCTGTACAAGGCTTTGCGGAACACTGTCATTAAACTAGTCAGAACCGATAAGAAAAAACATTTTGAAAAAATTCTCTCTCTCTTTTCTGACCCTACACGTTTTTGGACTTCTATAAATAAATTCAAAAATGGAAAGTTGAGCATACTCAGTTTGTGTCTGATATGTCTAAGCGCATCTCGTCATCTGTCAAAGAATCTTGTGACATGTTTAATACGTACTTCAGTTCTTGTTATTCTACTCCTACACCAAACTCCACTCCAGTAATCGATAACGCTTTTTCAAATTCTAACGGACCAAAATTTTCGGACGTCCATATTTCTCTCACTGAGATTGTGAAAGCTGGTGGATCGATGAATAATACGGCTAGTGTTGGAGTTGACGGCTTGTCACTGGAATTTATTCAATTGTGCCTTCCTGTTTTAGGAAGACAGTTATTGCATATATTTCAATCGTCGATTAAAACAGATATCTTTCCCTGTCAATGGAAAGTTGCTACCATCACACCTGTTCATAAAAAGGGCAATAGCTCTCTCATTGTGAATTATCGGCCAATATCGCTTTTGTGTGTTGTTAGCAAAATTTTGGAGAAAATCGTCCATCAGCAAATGCTGGGCTTTTTGCTTGACAATAATCTGCTTAGTAGCACTCAGTTTGGTTTTAGACCTTCCTGCTCGACCC